TAATCTCTTATAACTACTACAAAGTAACAAGTTTTATTACTTTAATAAGGAAGAAAGTGTCTTCAAATCATCAGTCAGTCAGTCAGTCAGCTACAACGTAGGACCAGGCACATATATGCATCGGTCTAAGTTGCCATATCGCATTAGCACAGCAAGATAAACACCGGATTCATAGGAGTGGTTAAACCAATAGTAGTAATATATAAAAGAAACATTGTATATAAAGATACAGTACAGGAAGAAAGATTTAGTACACGGAAAGAAAGATATGAAGTGATTTTAATCTCTTGGTTTAAGAGAAAACAGAGAGTGCATACACCTACGCCATTACGATCGATTCTGAGCCATGTCACTCAGTCTCTAACCATAGGTTACGATAGTCACGCGGACCCCAACCAAGTAGTCTGCATCTACCAACATGGATCAGACCAGAAGTTAGCGACTTCAATGACTGATGCCACGTTTTGGTTTGGCCACCCCTAACTTTCTTCCAACCATCTCCAACACCAGTTAATATTACACGTGGTGGTAATCGGTGTTCAGGCATACTCAACACGTGGCTTATTACTAGATTAAAGTCATTAAATAAATCTTTTTAAATACCAGTATCATAGAATAATGATACACAACCAACATCAGTTACTTACTTACTTAAGCCTGTTACTTTCGTAAAGGAGTATAGTCACCCATCAGAATTCTTCATCAAACTCTTTCCTGGGAAATCTCATCCACTTTTTATTCATTCTTTGGATATATGCTTCCATTTCCCGACGTAGTGTGTTCTTAGGCCTTCCTCTTTTTCGTTTTATTTCATCATTCCACGGAGTAAGCGCTTGCCTCATAATGCAGTTTGATGATTTCTATAATGTATGTCCTATCCACCGACTCGATTGTTTCTTCCTAATTTCCTTCACATCTCGAAGCTGGTTTGTTTTCTCTTATAGTAGGCTGTTGCTGATGGTTTTCATCCAACGGACATTCTGTATCTTACGTAGACAACTCTTTATAAATGTTTGTACCGTTTTGATCATGGTTGTGGTAGTTGTGGAAGTTTCAGCTCCAACAGTAGAACTGAGTGTGTTGACGTTCGTATTGAAGATTGTGATTTTGATATTGGTTGATAGACAATTATTTTGAGTTGCATATATTCTGTAGGAATGTTACGATTTCTTTAACAACCAACATCAATAAAACATTTTTATTTTTTTCAAATTGTCGTCAACATTGTGGTATAGATAGTGATATGAATCTATCGACTCCCATCCTTTTTTTGGAATTCATGACTATATTTCTTTTGTCACAGTTGAAAAATGTCTAAACTTAGTAGATTGGTAAATATTACATTTTTAATTATAATATCAGAAGCGGCTTTGAGAACATTATAGTAATTTCAATGGTTAAGATCATGAGTCAGTTTAAGCTAGACCTCCATGGAAAACCCAGAAGTACTGAACGACCGTTTCTTCTTGTTGTGAGACTCATCAGAAGTGCGTATCCACGATCCCGTGTCGCGAGATTCCAACCTGGAACCTAATAGTCTCACGCGCGAACGCTTAGCGTCTACACCACTGAGCCGATCGGCATCCAACGGTGTTGATGTTTAAATTCAACTAATCCATGAAATTGAGCGACACATTCACCATTGTCATCAGTGAGTTACTATCTCACAACAGACCCGGTTGAACTCCACTGATCACCGCTTTTCACTTGAACTCCAGGAAATACCTCTTGAAACCAGACACTAATGAACATATGTTGATCATAATCAGAGAGGGGTTTCATGGATATTATAGTAATTTCAATGGTTGAGATCATGAGTCAGTTATGTAATATTATTATTATTATTACGTGATTTCCAATTATGTTGTATTTAGATAAGTGAAACAAAATTCATTATACACATGAGATAAAACTTCTCCATATATACAAATGAAACAGACTAATATAAAATTTCATTCTGTAAATGATTATCAGAAACACCATCTTATAAATAATCTATAATTTGATGGATAAGTTAATGAAAAACATGAAGGATTTTTCAATCTTTTTGCAATTAGCAACTAACAACAACTTGAATGGAAAAAAGCATTTATCCATAGAATAAACCATAGTTAATGAACACTATTTCATTTTGTATAATCCTGAAAGTTTGTTACATTTGAGAAACAAAGAGATTATGATAAGTAAATAAATAAATATGTTTGTATTAGGTTCAGATCATGAACAGATCGATGTTAGACCAACAGTGAAGCACTGAACGGCCGTATCATCCTAACATGGGACTCGTCAGTAAGTAAGTATAGGGATCGTGAAGAAATTCTTGGAACTTTAGTGAGATGCTGTGACCAGTGGAGCTAATCCGTGTCGAGTAGAGATAGGCATCTCCCTCAGTACAATGGAAGATGATTGCGCGATTTCACGGATTGGTTGGGGCTAGACATTAACACTGTTTGATTCCGGCCAGCTCAGTGGTCTAGTCGTTAGGCGTTCGCGCTCGAGACTGATGGCTCCTGGGTTTGAATCTCGCGATGTGGGATCGTGAATGCTCACTTTTAAAGAGTCCCACAATAGGACGGAATGGCCGTCCAGTGCTTCCAGGTTTTCCGTGGTGTTCTAATATCGATTTTTTTTATCTGAATCTGATATGATGGGAAGAAAAATCAATTTTCGATTGATCTACTCAATATGAGTTTTATTCATCATTACATCCTTTTTGATTCAATGTAATGATTACGCAATGTAGTTTTTGTTTTCTTTTCTCTTATGATATTTTTCTTCTGTGTAATATACGATATTCTTGTATTCCATTGATCTGAACTATGCTCAGTATGTGATTTGTTATAACTGAGAGTATTTTTCATATATGTGATTTCTTCCTAATTAGTAATCAAAATGGATGTACAACAAATACATAAATGAGTGTATATTCTACTAGATCATCATCATCACCATCACCATCATCATCATCATCATCATCGTAGTGGTCGTCATCATACTGTTTTTGGGCCAATAAATCTTCACTTATAACAGTCTTGTGTTCTTACTTTGTGTCGTGGGAATTGTGGAGGTTCCTTCGTTCCGGGTATAAGTGATCAGCGCTTTTCCGGCACAGCAATCAGCGACGACCAGATACAAAAATTGGCATTCGATTCACAGGTTATAACAGAATCAAAAACTTAGTAATCTCCATAACCCTATACTGATGCTTGTATTATCCTAATGAGTAGAAAAATTAAATTTCCTGACGTTTCGTGACTTAGTTTAAGCCACTTCTTCAGAGAATAAATATCCAATTCAAAAATTAGTCCAAGTTGAAATAATACAAAGTAGCAACACAGGAATATTATGTGCGATCAATCAAGAAAATCAGATCTGAACAAATCAATGTCATGTCATTCCAGTCAAGGTGATTCATATGAGGCGTGTTTCTATATGCGTGTTAGCGTATGTGTGCACTGTTCGAAGGAAATATCATGGATTTGTACTTCAGTTTAACCATATCGTCGTGACACAACAGAACTCCAAAGAATCTTAAAATAACACAGAATTAAAGTATATTACAAAAAAACGGGCACAGTTCTAAATAATTTAATTCGCTTAAAAGAAAAAATCTCATTCATGTCAGTACAGGACTGCGTCTACAAATTAGGTTGTGTCGATTGTGATATCTTCTATATTGGAGAGTCATCTCACGAGATCTTGACTCGTGCCAAAGAACATATCAGGAACACGAAGAAACCTCTTAATAATCCCGTACAACTGGATAGACTTCAAATTAAATAAGCGATAACAGTTCACAGCCATCAAATCGATTTCAAAAACATCAAAATATTACAAATAGATTTTTCCAATTGCAAAGAAATGAGAGTAGCTGAAGCGTTCCATATAGTGCTTAATCCTAATGCTCTCAATAGAAAAGAATGGCTTATCATACATCTTACTTGGACTATCTATCCAAGCTACCATTTCTGATTCTATTCACATTTTACACTCACCACAAATGTCGTGTTTCTTCACCACTTATCATACATACACTCATTCGCATATAGAAACACGCCTCATATGAATCACCTTGACTGGAATGACATGACATTGATTTGTTCAGATCTGATTTTCTTGATTGATCGCACATAATATTCCTGTGTTGCTACTTTGTATTATTTCAACTTGGACTAATTTTTGAATTGGATATTTATTCTCTGAAGAAGTGGCTTAAACTAAGTCACGAAACGTCAGGAAATTTAATTTTTCTACTCATTGAAATATTACAAATATATTAATTTATTTATAACAAGTGAATCTAAAATTCATCCCATCGCACAAGCAAGTGGCTGTAAAAACTCAGTAGGTGAGTTTATAAAGAAATGTTGTTCGAAGCGAATGGTACTGGGTTTGACTCCCAGAGTGAACATCAACTCTGAGATGCAAGTTCATCCAGCTGAGTTCTTTAGTCTACTTAAAGCATCGAAAAGATTTAATAAATTATATATAATTTACCAGGAGAATCCCTTTTTATGTTATTCACGTTTATCTATATTTAAGTTTGAGTGAACGTTATTCGTTGATACAGTGATTACTACTAGTTAATGACAATGAACTTTACAATTAAAATGGTAGTTGTAGGTAGTCAATAAGAAACCCTGAATCTACGTTTCGCGCTACTTGGCACTTGTCAGTTAGTTATATCTGTAATCTTGACTGAACTGATACTTCCTAAGAGATTCGATCCCGTTCCATCCAAATTCACAGTCAAAAAAGGTTACTACTGAGCTATCTGGGTTATGATTGATCTCCTGTAAGCCTGAGATGTATTTGCAATTGTTTGATCACTAAATGGTGATCAGTATCATGTATCTGAGATCTTTCTTAGTACAAATCGAATCTTAACGATCAAGTTAAAATATTCTATTAGATGATTAATGAATATAACTTTAATTATATATGAAAATTTATTTTTAAAAAAATAAATTTTTTTTGTATTTTTTCTTACTTTCTTATAGTCTGCTTTATTGATATTAAACAATTTTCAAGGTGGATGTTTCAGTGCAACCGTTTATGAAAGATTAGGTGACTTTTTGGATTTCTTAACATTAATTAATAATGGTTTAAATTTTATTTTATATTGTGTTATGTCAAGACAGTTTAGATATACATTTTTACAATTATTTTGCCCATTTCTTAATTTGTAATATGTTTTATGCAATATCTATCTATCTGCTTATAGTGCAAATGATTAGGAAAACTGTTGTATATGTACAGACAAATATATACATACATATATATATATAAACTCTTGTGATAACTGTCTTATGTTTTAATATACTTAGTAACTGGGTGAACATCAATTCAGTAAGTTTTATTAATATTAAGTAAAGATGAATAATGACTAGCAGTGGAATCCAAGGACTGACATTTCGTCGTGTAAGACACGATCTCATGCAGTTGTTTCTTGAGCATTGAGGTCACATTCCCAGGTCACCAAGGCCACTTCTAAATCAATTTTGTTTTCAGGTACCTCTAGAAGAACCCTTCTATGATGTGGGCAACCGGGAAGTGATAACCGACCTCATACTTCTGGCAGCACTCCAGACTACTGTAGAAAAATAAATGAATAACAAAATCAACATAATCTAAAGAATTAAACGATAGATTCAAAATACCCATATTTAAATACAACCTTTGAAGAATTTACCAGATATTGAATTATATATATCCCCATATAGCGCAAATGATTAGGAAAACTGCTGAATATGGACAGAGAAATATATATATATATATAAACTCCTGTGATAACTGTCTTATGTTTTACTACACTTTGTAACTGGGTGAACATCAATTATTAATATTAAGTAATGATGATTAGTGACTAGCAGTGGTCAAGGACGCTCGTTAACTGAATGTATCTGTATCCCAGAGTTGATGTTCACTCTTGGACTGAAACCCTATTTCATTCGCTTTAAACGTTATCGTGTTATTCACATCATATTACCAAATGTTCTAAAAATTTCAACGATGAAATATAAAATAACGTTTATTCCTGAAATACCTCTTCATGAATTTTGATATTATCCGGTTAAAATTGTCAGTCAGTCAGTCAGCTACAACATAGGACCAAGCACATATATGCATCGGTCCAATTTGCCATACCGCATTAGCACAACACGATGAACAACGAATTCATAGGAGTAGTTAATTTAATGATGGTATTATATAAAAGAAAGATTGCATATAAAGATATGGTATGAAAAGCAAGAATTAGTTCGTGGAAAGATAGATATGAAGCGATGTTGTCTTCCTATATAGAGGTACAGGGTTAGTAATGGTCGACCCTAAAAATGAACACCTCGCTTTATCCCACAGATATCTGTCTCCGGCGGTAAGGTTCCAACAAGTACGGAGCTAACACGAAAATAACTCACAAAACAATCGTGTGTGATCAGTATCAAGTAGTTGTTCCTTGGGCACTGAGGTCACGTTCTCAGGTCACAAAGACCACCTCTAAATCAATTTCGTTTTCAGTCAACTCCAGAAGAACCCCTTTACTTATTTAATAAAAAACTTATTCCATTAGGTCAAATATTAGAATTCTGTGAAGTCATCGTGGATAACTCTAGTTCATAAGAGACGTTGATCGCGAATGATGATGGAAAGATAGATTGTGTGTCATCCACTGGACTATCCAAGTACTTATTGATCGTTAAAATTATTGTGGATGAACTATTCATGAGATTATCGTTTGTTCTCACTGTAAGAGCTGGTATTATATCAAGCCCATATAGGTTATACTAGCCTCTGGACAAATTAATCTATTCATTCTTCTCAAGTCACAATTTTACCCTGTCATTTATTTGCTCATTAGTACTGACTGTTTTTATGTAAGTGTATGTATGTACATTTCATATCATATTCATCACATGTCTCTAACTTACTTTTGTCTGACTATAAATATCGATTAACCATTGGTTAAATCAAGTTGACTCACATTCCTTCTCCATGGTGCATCATTTCGATTCGCTCTCTTCCCTTCTCTTGCCTCACTTCGTCTCTCTGACTGTCTGTTCTGATAAACAATTGTATGAAATATACACATTCAAACTTCATTCTCGTATTTGACTTATTTAATTCCGTTATTCACTAAGGCGAGTTAAGTCGACAGTTATGTACGAAGTTTTGCAACATGTACATTTCGATAACAATCATTAATACGATCCGAACGGAGTCAGATATAACTAGAGCCATTAAAATATTAGATACTAAGTAATAAGATTGGTCTAAATCCTAATTACTTAGGAGCTGGAAAAATATTTTAAACAATAGAAAACGAAATAGTCGAGATTTGTTACGATAAATGGGTGTATTGTGAATCTATTAAGATTAATGCACCATTACCTAGAGATCTCCAGTTTTCAATTGTTCATTTCAATGGGTCTTGAATAGAGCCTAACATCAAACTGATTAGTTGATTTACTTTTTACTTACTCTTGTTACTCCTCGTGAAGGAGCATAGGCCTCTCACCAGCATTCTCCATACAACCCTGTCCTGGACAATCCTTTCCAGCTCTTTCTAGTTCTCATTCATCCTTTTCATATCTGCTTCTATTTCCCGACGTAATATGCAGTTTGGCATTCCTCTTTTCCGCTTCCCCTCAAAATTCCAAGCTGGGGCTTGCCTCGTGATTCACTTTGATGTTTTTGTAATGTATGTCCTATCCATTCCTATCATTTTTCCCTGATTTCCTCTTCAGATGGAACCTGGTTTGTCCTCTCCCACAGAAGACGGTTGCTGATAGTATCTGTTCAACAACGGATATTGATTATCTTGCATAGACAACTATTTATAAATATTTGTAACTTCTTGATGATGGTTGTAGTAGTTCTCCACGTTTCTGCTGCGTACAGTAGAACTGACTGTGTTAACATTCGTATTGAAGATTGTGACTTTGATATTGGTTGAAAGTTGTTTTGAGTTCCATTTGTTGTTCAATTGTAGGAATGCTGTCCTTTCTTTGTCAATCGCCTTTATATCTGCATTCGATCCTCCTTATTAATAGATGATGCTTCCCATGTACATGAAGGATTCCACATTTTCCACAGTTTCGCCATCAAGTGTAATTGGTTTGGTGTTCTCCGTGTTGTATTTGAGGACGTTGGTTTTCCCGTTGTGTATGTAGAGGCCTAATGGTGCAGAAACTGCTGCCACACTGGCTGTCTCTTCTGTATTTGTTCATGTGTATGCATCAGTTGATGATGAACCTATATTAGTTTTGCACAGTCAGAAAATCAAATAGGTTTGGTCTACAAAACTAAAATGGGGTGACAATTGTGTTTGTCTAGTAAATGATTCAAAACCAGACAAGTTGACTAGGGATTTTGAGTTCTTAATCAATCAGGTATAAGATAACAGGTCTCGGATTTCGACGAGGAATTCACTCATCGACTTGGCTATATAGAGTTTTGGAATTATAGCTGATATCAGTAGATTATGAAAACCCTAAATCTGATTCCTAACCTTAACCATCAACTTTGAATAATGATTCTAATAGCTCACACAGGTTTTGTTATAGCTTGTGACTTGTGTGCCCTTTTATTATATAATGTAACGATATCGCCAACTAGGGAACAGTGACTTATCGATCGAACCAAGGACGCGTAAAAACGTACGAGCAGTCTAGTGTCCTGATTAGTCTTGCTTTCCGCCTAGCCCAGCCAGTTAAGTCCAGAACACCAATCTCAGCCTCTGCAATATGAATCATTTATTTCAAACATATTCGGTTTATATACCAATCAAACAAACCACATCGTACCATAAAATAGAAAATAACATTTATACATGGCCAAATGTGGCTGTGAATATGGGAGGCAGTGACTAATAGACAGGGCATAATTCAAGAATGGTAAAACGTATAATAATATTCCATAGGTCAAAATAAAGCTAATAATAAGAGGAATATGAATAGTTTGGTTAATTAACAATTATACGATAAAAATATACGCATAGTATTGGTCCATAAATGGATCCCAAAGTTACCATTCATTATGCTTATCGGGACCTAACAGGTTTATAACCCTCATTTGGTCCTAGTTAGTAAGTGGACACTCTCAAAGTCATCCTAGTTTCGCTCAAAGGCCTGAAAGCACTGGACAGCCGTTTCGTCCTCTTGTGGGACTCCTCAGCAGTGTTTATTATCTTCAGGTAAATAAATTAAGATAATGTTTATTTTTTATGGAGGAAGTTCTTAAAACTTGTTTCATAAAACCCTAAATATAAACATTAACCGATTACATCGAACTAAATACTCTTATAATAAGATTATGATATGCCGTTCAGCTGTTGATAGATTTACGTTTGATCAAAAGGTAGTCTCTGTGCTGAGTGAATAGTCAACTGACGTAAGGATTTTTGGTAAAGAAAAAACCTAATTCAACCACTTAAAACATTTGAAGGAGATATACACGTTTAATAATGAAAGTAGTCAACACCTATCCCCAATGATAGAAGTATAAGTTCAGACAATCTGACAGTAAAATCTAAAAGTTGACAGAATGAATTTCATATATGCTATATACTTATCATCTTGTATTTTCTTATTTAAGACTTCATAATTCTGAACTATATCCTTTCTGAAATAATAATTATTTTGTTTGTTACACATTTACTTACGCCAGTTACCCCCGTAGAGCACTCTCCATCCAACTTTGCCCTGGACAATCATTTTTAGTTGCTATTCATCCTTTTCAAGCAACATACTACTAAATAGCATAATTTTTGACCGAGTTACTTTCGATCGAACTTTATATCAGAAGGGATTTAGTGAATATTATAGTAATTTTAATAGTTGAGATCATGAGTCAATTGAAGCTAGATCACCATGTAAAACCCAGAAGCACTGGGTTCTAGTGTGAGACTCCTCAGCAGTGCACATCCACGATTCCGACTCGCGAGATTCGAACCCAGCACCTATCAGTCACGCGCACGAATGCTTAACCAATAGAACATTGAGCCGGCCGGCATCCAATGGTGTTAATGTCTAACTTCAACTCATCCACGAAATTAAACGAAACATCCACCATTGTGTTCAATGAGTTACTATTTCACAACAGACCTGGTTGAACTCTACTGATCACTGCTTTCCACTGGAATTTCAGCATATATCTCTTGAATCCAGTCACTAGTGAGCATATGTTGATTTGTCTATAAATTGAAAAATATTTACATGTGAAGACAAGTTCTGTAAAATGTATATATGTCACTGGTATAATAATTAATCCTAAGCAGAGATGAATTTTGATAGAGTTTT